ACACCTCTGCTACGCGCCGTTCGTTGGATGAGGCTGGATCTCTATTAAATTAAGAAAGGAATTGAAAACACCGGAATCAAAGTTATAACAAATTATCTGAGTTTACTTCTGGTAGGAAACCAAACACATATACAAGTTATACAGAGTACTCGAGTACTCCGGACTTCAGGTTTGTGATGCGATGCAGATAAATGTGTCGGGACCCGACAACTCATCAAACGAGATGAAAGTGACTTCAGGTTTGTGATGCGATGCGGACACAGATATCGGGACCAACCAACTCACCAAACCAAAAAGCATTTTTACACTCAAAAACATCAGTATTCATATCTATTTTTGGGGCGGAGATGGGTCGACTCTTCCTTCCCATTTTCCTCCCAAGCGAATCAGAGTTCCGTGAGGAGGAGCTGTGTAAGCTGATCACCTCCCCCAAGTGTCCTGACTGGCTGGATTCACTTCTGGTCGAGTTCAATAGTTCTTCACCAGAATTTGAAATTCCAAAATTCCCTAAGGTCAAAAGTCAACCTCTATCTCCGATTCGAATCTTAACTCTATTCCTTTCCCATGAGTTCTTCACATAAACTATCCTATTTCAGACATTTAAACTTTTCTTCACCTATTTAACGATGTCTTTAACGACTTAAAAACAACATCTGTTCTTAGGGGTGATAAGGAGCGATGTAATGTTGTCTTTAACGACCTTAATGACGACATCTGGTTTTTAGGGGTGAAAAGGCCAAGTGTGTGTGTTGTGAAAACAGAATCTCTGGGTCAGTGAGTTTGAAAGTAAGAATATCCTTTCTATATATAATTACCCAAAACCGTTGTGATTACATAAAACAGTTCAACCAATACATGTTTACTTCAATACAGTGTAGAATCATATCTTTTTACTTCAGTAGTGAAAACACTTCCGCGTAGTCTGCTCTCGTGTATCCTCCCTTTCGTCTCCTCCCGCACCCCTCCTCCCTCACCCCTCCTCGACTCCTCCGTGTGCATTTCAGCTATTGGGACGTCCTTCAAAATGGCGTGTCTTGATCGATTTCCGGGTCAAGTCCCGGAGGAGGGGAAGAGAGGAGTCGAGGAGGGGTATTGGGATGAGGCTCTTGTGTTTTCATCCCTGTCGTTAGTTTCCCTGGTGTGTCTGATTGTGTTCACCTGTTGCCCTTTTGTTTCTCCCTCCCTGCCCGGCTGTTTCTCGTCTCGTGATTACCCCTCCCTGTATTTAGTCTTGTCTCTTCCCCGTCGGTTCATTGTTTGTTTTTCCTGTCTCCCTCCATGTCAGTCACGGTCAGTCCTTCGGTATGTTTTTTCCTTGTGCTTTCGTTTTGTTTCATGTCATGTTTTTTTGTCATCAGCTTTTGTAATAAAGCTCGCTTTTGTTTATAGACCTTTACCCTTTTTGTAGTCTGCATTTGGGTCCTACCTTTTTCCGCAATCATTACAGAGATCTTAACACCCCCACGGCCTGTGTCCAGCCGTTTCCCCCCCCACTCATCCATATATTAACGGATTTTGAAATTTTTTGTTGCATTTTTCTCCTCTCTTCTCACTGATCGAATAGCAAACGCGACCCACCATCGGAGGGCCTCCTCCGGCCCGGCCTAGTGCCGGTGCTCTGGCGGTCGGTTCCTCTGAACTGCGGCTTCGACTCTGATGGCTGGGAGGGTGTGCTGCGTTGGGGTGGGGGACTTCCCCCACTCTGCGTGTCTCTTCCTGCCGGCCGATATGAAGCGTGACCAAGACGCACCGTCTGACTCAGCGGTCCCACCACGGGTCCCGCAGCGGGGTGGAGGTTCCCGGCTGGAACCTCCCCACCACCGCCGTGGTGCACCCGGCAAACACGGTTGTTTCTCGAACCTCCACTGTTGTCTAGCGGGTGTAACTAAAATACAAGATGTCGTTATTTATATATATATAGATATCATAAGTGTCAGTGCGATTTTATTTTGTATTAGCGTGCATTTCCTGTTCGGAAAGTGGAGCTGTACTGAGAGTAAACAATACAAGGTGTCCCTATTTATATTTATATTTATATTTTTATTTGATATATATATATATATCAAATAAAATTTGACAAGAATCAATTTCATTAATGGGAGACCCTAAAGATAAGAAAAATCATTGTTGTATTTTGTTCTACCTCGGGTAGGGGTATCTCAAAATATGTGGGCCCTTCCTGCTAGACTAAAAGTCAAGCTGCTTTGAGCGGCCATATTGGCTGCTGTGCCCTGGTTACAGTCTCACAAGAGGTACCGCTGGAAAGCTACACTTCCAGCGATTCCGCGGATATCTGAATCATATTTCTACTCCTTATAATCGAAAATATATAATTAATTACGTAAATGATGCGCGTCCACCGACTCCAGAGGGTTTTAAGTACTATTTACTACACTAAATACACTACACTAATTCTCCTTGACCTCTCTGCAGCATTTGACACCATGGTTGCGGTCGAATAATCCAAAAATCAGCTCCTAAGTTCTAACCCTATCGTCTATCCCTTGACCTCTGAGTGAAACGTCACGGGGTTAAGGGATAGTGGATAGGAGAATTCAAAAGGACTTAGGAGAAGAGACTGCGGTACTTTAGAGAATCGACTGCACTTTCACTATCCGACGTGTTTATGATGCGCCAGCGGAGGTCATAAATGTGCGTCTGCTGCTGTGGGGAAACTATGGAAACTACAGTTTTCTATACAGCGGACAACAACATGGATGTTTAATAAGAATGAGGGACTACTGTAAACTCATCTAGAGACTCTGCACCGTGCTCTGATGCTGTTGTTTTATGCTTTATGAACGGGAACAACAGAGAAACATATTCTTCATGACCAAAGTTGGAATTGAAATAAAAAAGCAAAGTGAAACTTATGCTCGTCACCCTCTCCCTCCGGTCCACATTAATACAAATGATCCCAATACGTATGATTGTATGAAAAGATCTTAAAATCAATACAAATGTATTTATTATAAACGTTAGTCCTTAACATCTATCACTGTGTATATCCAACCCTGTCTCCTAGAAATGACGTTCCCACAAAACTAAACTGCATTCTCAAATACGTTTCGCAAGAAACGTATTTTCTTCCACGTTACGTTTGTTATGAACATATCTTAAATACGTTTATTTTCTACATATCTTCTAGAAACCTATTTTCTCCCACATGACGTTTGTTATGAACATATCTTAAATACGTTTGCTTTCTACCTATCTTTGACATTTCTTTTCTAGCTTATAATAATGATAATAGTAATTTATTAATATCATTTTAGAGCAAACTTATTTTCGCGCTGGCTGGCGGCTCACTGTTCAGTTTACCAAATCCGTTATTATGCTGGTTAATGGTTAATAATCACAATATTGTTTGTAGTCGTTTCATACAGCATTCTCAATTACGTTTAACAAGAAACGTATTTTGTCCCACGTTACGTTTGTTATGAACATATCTTAAATACGTTTATTTTCTACATATCTTCTAGAAACCTATTTTCTCCCACATGACGTTTGTTATGAACGTATCTCAAATACGTTTGCTTTCTACCTATCTTTGCCATTTCTTTTCTAGCTTATAATAATGATAATAGTAATTTATTAATATCATTTTAGAGCAAACTTATTTTCGCGCTGGCTGGCGGCTCACTGTTCAGTTTACCAAATCCGTTATTATGCTGGTTAATGGTTAATAATCACAATATTGTTTGTAGTCGTTTCATACAGCATTCTCAATTACGTTTAACAAGAAACGTATTTTGTCCCACGTTACGTTTGTTATGAACATATCTTAAATACGTTTATTTTCTACATATCTTCTAGAAACCTATTTTCTCTCACATGACGTTTGTTATGAACGTATCTCAAATACGTTTGCTTTCTACCTATCTTTGCCATTTCTTTTCTAGCTTATAATAATGATAATAGTAATTTATTAATATCATTTCAGAGCAAACTTATTTTCGCGCTGGCTGGCGGCTCACTATTCAGTTTACCAAATCCGTTATTATGCTGGTTAATGGTTAATAATCACAATATTGTTTGTAGTCGTTTCATACTGCATTCTCAATTACGTTTAACTAGAAACCTATTTTCTCCCACATGACGTTTGTTATGAACATATCTTAAATACGTTTGCTTTCTACCTATCTTTGACATTTCTTTTCTAGCTTATAATAATGATAATAGTAATTTATTAATATCATTTTAGAGCAAACTTATTTTCGCGCTGGCTGGCGGCTCACTGTTCAGTTTACCAAATCCGTTAATATGCTGGTTAATGGTTAATAATCACAATATTGTTTGTAGTCGTTTCATGTCTTAACTACACACTTTAACATTGTTATCATCCAAAAAGCCTCTTTCGCTGGTACATTAAGGCACTGTGGGTTATTCAAAACCATTCTATTTATTCTAACGTAAATTACATGCCACTGTTTTATCTTTTTATTTAGCGATTTGTTTATAGCATGTAGCATGTTTAACTGGGAATGTGTTCACGTGGAACCGCGGAAGTACGTCACTTGACTTCGTCTTCTTCGTCCCTTTTACGTTCCAGACAATGCATGGTTCAGCGTAACAGACTGAACAGCGACCCCAGGTGTGTCTACATTGGAATTACTGAAGGAAAATACTTTACCTAGGGTTTGTTAACTGGGTATTTAATGCAGTTGGCTTTTCTTAATGGTTACAATATTGCAATGAGTTATATCTGAAGCAAATTATGTTTCTGAAGATGTGTAGTCGATTCCACCCTTCAATGTAGCATAAATGTGAACTCATTACAGGAACAGCTTTCTCTTAAACAAACCTTCACCATTTTCTAGAAATAATTCTGGCTGTTAAAGGATATACTATGTAAAACAACAGCAATACTTGTTCTGACAGAAGATAAAAACAAATACATAATCAAACAGTGTGCTTTTATTCATTCATTTATTTAAATAAATGGAAAATATAAAACATGAATACAGAATAACCGAGCAGAACCGAAAAGGTCTTGGATGAGGAGTGGTGCTCAAAAGGGCTCATCATGGATGTATCTGTGGAACAACAAAAACAGACACTTAAGCATTCTATATGGTGTTAAATATTCAAAAACATTTGTCAGCATTCATCACTATTCAAGATGTCAGAGGAATGATTAATGTAATCCAATTGACTTGTATGTCTGCCTTGGTTTGAGATACTTATCATATAATTATTACCAATCTTGCTTCTCATCATCAGAGGAGTCAGTGTCATCAAGGGTGAGACAGATCTCCCCATCCCACACTTCCTCCTCTCCTTCATTGTCTTCCTCCTGTAGGGCAGTGGGGTCCATCAAAACATTCCTGCATATAAAAGCATTATTTATTGTCATGGTTAGTATCCAGGTTCTTAGTCTTTATGTACTGACAGCATTGTAAAGTTTCACATTAGACACATCTAAATTGTTTAAATACCTTCAAGGTAATATTAAGGAATGTTGAGATAAACATAACATTAACTTGCATAAATGTAAAAAACAAAAACATATCAACAGTACTAAAATCTTCATCTAATGTTCTGTAAGTGTTGGACCTGATATATATACAGTAAGTGTGCCGTTGTAAGTATGTACAATTCAATGTATATACTGTATATGGTTTGTTTGTTTTATGTCGTAGAGTCTGGTATGGAGTATTTATATCCTGTACCAGAAAATGTTCAAAACATTTAAAAATGTCAATAAATAGTTTGCAGTCTGTCTACAGGCATTTGATGGTTATCAAGAATATTCTTTCAGTCGTATATACAAGCAATAGTGAAGGATCTCTACATATAAGAATACACATATGTAACATCAATGTTGTTTTATGTTGATGTGAAGTTATTAATGTGGCATTGTTTCTATTCAATCTATATGCGCATCATGTGTAGATAGATTGCAATCAATCAAATTAATTATACTCAAAACAAGAACTGAATCCAGTGTATTTCTCCAAAAGAAATACTCACCTGTATGTGCTGAAGGACTCCTCCATTTGTTTTTCCATCTCCTGGAGCCTTTTTTTCAATAAATCCTTCAGCCCCTCATATGTTTCCAAGGACATGGTAAAAGGACAGCCTAAAAGGCGGAAAGGGGTAATATTATATTACTATTTCGCAAATGAGGGCCTAGGCCCCTTGTCATGTCTGCCGATATCTGGTTTTCTTATGTCTGTTTGTTTTAATCTGTGTCTATGTTGTTGTCAGTGACGTATTGTCTTATCTTTTTAAATGCCTTTGTGATGTGCTGCAACCCATTTTCCCCTCGGGGACAAATAAACGAATACTACTACTACTTATATCGATAATGATCATTATATTTCAGTGAAATACCTACTCTGTTTACACAGGTCCTTCTCAATCTGCTGGATCTCTCTTTGCACAGCTCTTGAAGATCCTGTCAGGTAGCGGCAATGGTTCTTCATCTCTTTGATGAGAATCCCATCCTCTTCTCGAAGTCGAGAGAGCAGCATGACTTTGTCAAAGGCCATTTTCTTTGTCTCGAGGGGGACGGTGGATGCTATAACGAAGTGAATATGTTGAGTTTATTTAACAGTAATGAAAACAAACTTCCATAGTTGTTAATACATTAAAACTTATATTACTAGAACAAGTGACAAAATAGCATATGGAAAATTGTGTGGAAGATTTAAATAGACTGCATGACTGATCATGTCAAACAAAAACAGTATAAAAAACAGCAAAGATATAAAAATATCCGCTTTGTTAAGTGCAGAAAAATGCATATACCAGAATCCCATGGCCAAATAGGGAAGTCTTGACTTAGGACTGCATCTGCTGTATCAACAGCCTCTGTGTCTGGCACAAGGTTGTTGTAAGCTGCAATCGCCTCCTCCAGTTTCCGCTTGTTCTTTGCAATGATATCCCGTTTGGGCTTGCGGTCTTTGTTATTGTCTATAAATGACAGGAAGTGCAAAGATAAAAAATATCCAAATAATTTTTTATATTTAGCGTTATTTCAAAAATAATACAATAACAATAATAATAACACACCTATGGTTCTGTACAGCTCAATTTTCCGCTGTTTGATTTTGAGGGCGAGGCCCTCCATGACCCGCTGCAGCCCCTGTTGATCCTGGCAGTTGGTGGACTTTAGACCTTAATGTAAACATTCAATTGTCAATTAACACAATTTCCTTAAATGTAAAATGTCAACTAACAGTTGACAGTTAATATTTTGTAGCTATAGGAAAAATCTTACTTGATGCAGCCCACTCCTCAACCTCCTTCACCCACTGCTTCATTCCTTCCTCTGTTGTCTGCAGTTTTGTTTGCAGATTTTGAATGTCCTTGTCCATTTCATCAGTCCTTTTCTTGGTCTGCAAATGTTATAAATTACATTTGTATCATTGTCAGAAAATAACACCAACCACTAGTGTTTTCTTTGTCACTAAAGTAGGCTGTTCAATTTGAGTTGTTATAGTAGCGGTTAGAAGTTTCAGCCTCAATTCAAAGTTAACAGATACTTTAGGTCATCAATGAACACATTCACAGGACTTGACGAGGACATCAAAGCATCAAAAATAGTTTTACAGACATCAGTGCATGACCGTCCAAACATTTTCACTAGGGATGTCCCGATCCGATCACGTGATCGGGGATCGGGAGAAAAAAATCGGGGATCGGAATTTTTTTTTTTTTTTTTATAAAATATTTTTATACATTTTATTTAATGTTACAAAACAAAAATGACCATGTTCACGTCTTAAAGTCATCCTGAGGCCTTAGTTTTGGGTTAAAATTACACAACATCATGTATGTGTTGCTTCTTTTGGGCTTGTTTTCATAGACCTGGTTGCTTATTTCTCTCAAATCTGGCAACAGAGTGGGCGCAGTGTCTAATAGTAGCAGTAAGCTAACAAGAGGCTATGTTCAGCTGGTGACTCGGGAGTCGGGACAGAGAAAATGTCAGGAGTTTGGAAGTATTATAAAATTGAAAGCGAAGGCAGTGTAACAGCCAGATGCAATGTTTGCAAGGCGGAGGTTCCGCGTGGTGGAAAGAACAGAGCTACGTTCAACACGACCAATCTAATACAAACACCAACAACAACACGACGAGTACACAGCGGCCACTCAGGTAACGGCACTGAAACAACCGACACTTTCAGAGACTTTTAAAAGGAAAGAGAAACTACCCCAGAACAGTGAAAAGGCCAAAAAAATAACAGCCAAGATAGCTGAATTCATCGCGTTGGATGACCAGCCGTTATCTGTTACCTTTTTTTTCCTCTTAATGCATTGCATAAAGATCGGATCGGGAAAAATCGGTATCGGCAGATTGTCAAAATCAAATGATCGGAATCGGATCGGGAGCAAAAAAAGGTGATCGGGACATCCCTAATTTTCACTGAGCTGTTGTCGAGCAACCGAATATATTTAGTCTATGTTTAAGAAAAGAGTTGCAGCCAAAAAGGTATGCACATTGTTGTATTTTATATTGTGAAAAAGATATTCAATTACATGACAAAATTACCTTCACATATCGTTGAGACAGGTATCTGTGCAAGTTCTGCTTCTTCCTCAAGTTCCATCCACGAGCATGTATCGTTATCATGTCAGTACGTCCTGAAACATATTGTTTTACTTTTTAGAATTGTACTTGAGCCACAATAAGATGTTAAAACAACTACTCACTTGCTTTGGACATGTATTTTGTGGTCGTTGCCACACGAGAGAGGTATGAATTGACAGCCTCCACTTCCTCTCCAACTGTCAAACCTAGAGCAATTTGAAACAGAAACTTAGTACTTTTTTTTTTTTTTTTTTTTTTTATTACCGAAAGAATATCATTGTAACATACCTGCCCCTTCCTGGTTGCGACCACTCCACTCCACCTGAGAATAGTCAACAATAAATTGAATTATGTCAGTTTAGACATTAAAATACCCTATTAACCAAAAACAATAAAAAACATTACATTTACATTTATACCTCGCATTTTGTCGAGTGACCTTTCGCATGCATCACTGACAGAAATGGCCGCATTTGCAGGACATACTGCAGTTCTGGAAAGGACTCAACTACCCTCTGTATATATGGGTAGTATTTACACATGACGTCAGTGCAAACAAACTCAATCTTGTGTTCTTTTCCAAGATCTTGCTGTAGGTAGAGAGGGTAGGCAAAGATTTCCCCACGAAACATGTTGAGGCCTGCAACCAAAACAAAGATAGATTTCTTTGAAAAGGGTTTATTTCATTACTATATTAATGGATATTCTAAAAAATACAAAGATAAGTTATTACTGTCATGAAAGTGCATAATTACTTGTGAATCATAACTGGTACTCAAATGTTTAAAGACCATTTTAGTATGGCATTTTTGTAAGTACAAAAAATATGTAAATGGCTTTTCAATTAAAGGTGGGGTAGGTCATTTTGGAGAAACCAGCTGGAGTGTGCTAGAATTTGAAAATACACAGCCGGAAAAAATCTGCCACTTCCTTACAGAGCCCCTCCTCCAACACACAAGAACGCGCACATGACCAATGAGGGCACGAGATAAGTTTGTGCACAGATGGAAGGCTGACAGGCAGGTAGGCCATCCAGTTATTTTAGCCGGGCCGGCTCAGATGATTGGTCGTGCTTTTTACAGTTCTACGGCTTCCACAGATGATATTTTTTTATGGATTTGTTGTCAAAGCACTTAAGATATTCATTGCTATCGGGATGTTAAGAGCATTCCATGGAATATAACAAAAAGTGTATCTCCAGCCGGTTTCTCAAACTTACCTACCCCACTTTTAAAATACATTATTTTACCACTAAATAGAATGCAGTGTCTGCAGACAGATGTCATCATTCCCTCTTCATCCAGTCTGGCCTCTGACAAGTCACAGTAAAACTCACAGGTTTTACTTTGTCTCGAATCCTTTGCACAAATCCTTCAACATCTGTGTCTTTGGCAATGAAAGTTCCTTCAAAGTATGGGCATTCGACCGTCCTATGAAGAAATAAGCATTTGATTGGGGAATATAGTATATAAAGATAATAGTCCATGTTGCTTTCTTGCTACTTACCCCTGACGATTGAAGCGATACAATTTTCTGTTGCCGTCCAGAGACACTGCGACCATGTCATCACCACAGGCAGGACATGAGAAATGGTCATCTCCAAGAAGTTTCTCAATTTCGTCCCGGCAATATGTCCATTCCAAGAAACTTCTTTGGAAATTGTCACCAGATGTTATCCCAGCCTAATAAGTAGGAAGTCATAATAAAATGCTAGATACATGTCAACATGCAAATACTATAAAGCATGGATTAAGTATAATATTTATTTATCTTTCCTCCAAGTCCTTTTGCAAATTATTGCACAAATTCACTTCATCTGCCAAATCTAAAATACAATACACAATACACAATTTGTATAATGTATCAAAATGTGCATTACCCTGCCAGCACGAACTGAGCGACTTTCCAGCATTCGAATGAAAGCGTGTCTACTCACACCAGGTGCACTGATTTTGAGATCTTCATATGTGGCAAAAAGATCGATGGAAAAAACTGTGTGGAATTCAATTGTTCCAGGCCAGTATCCATTTGAGATCAAATCTTTGATCTGTGGTGTCCACTGGCAGTGGCAGTTCTCACAGGTCAGCAGAGGAACAGAGAGGTCATAACGACCTGTTGGGACAAGCACCAAGTCAAATCAAAGTCACAATAAAGGTAAGAAAATGTATTTGTACTTTTACAAATGTTCAAAGATATGTTACCATTTATGTTGATGAAGATTACTTTTTGCCCACCACTCAATGACACATTGTCTGCATTGCAGCTGCAAATCTTTCTGGGCAAAGAAAATGGCAGGAGACGAACTATGTAAAAGATAAAGGGATAATGGTTACTTCTACTGGGCAAGTACAGGTATATCATACATTATGATGGGATTGAAAAGTAATTTTAGTCAAAAAGGTCTATACAGTATATACCTTCTTCACACGGTGATGGCTGACCACTAGCATCTTCAGTGATAATATCAGTGGGAGGAATTGCTTTGTAACTATCTCCTACAAATAGGCATCTGTTATGCAAACTGTACTTCCGATGTACAGTTATGTCACATTTGGGGCACAACAAGGGTTGTGGAAGGCAGTCTGTGCAACAAATGACTGCATCTTTAGCTTTGCACAGTTGACAAAGACCCTTCGGGATCTTTCCTGCCTCAAGCATGGCTTCAAGAAGCTGAGGTCTTGCTTTCCGCCATCTTTCATCAGATAAAGCCTGACGTACTGTCCATGTTCGACCAGATGAGGCTTCTGTGGAATTTGAACATCCGGCAACATCCTCCTCAACTGCATCAAGCATCTTTTGCAGTTCCTGTATATGAAGGTCTTGGGAAATGAGGATAACAGATGTAAGCAAGACAGAATAGATGGTAAAGAAAGCCTCAAGAGTCACAAAACAACTTCAAATTTCAGGTGGTTATTAAAATTGATTGCGTTTACATGGGTATGAATAACCCGTTTATAATTGTGAACACAATATTGCCTCATAAACGTGTTATTCATGTCTATATAAACAAAGTAATTGAGTGAGATTGCAAGGTGTAATGTCATGTTCACCTATATTATTTTTAAGGAACAATACAATTGCTCAAAATTAAGTTTTATGAATGTACTTGCAGAATGTCTTGCAGAAATATATTAGTGTTCAATTTATAAATTATAATTAAACTAAATATATTGTGATGTACACTGAAGTGAGTAAGTATGAGTTTATTAAATGGATACAATTATCTAAATAAAAATAACGGAAATGTTGGCATAACTATTTTGATATAGAATCTTACCAATCAAATTGTGGGTCTGTTGCACCTCAGAGGTGAATGTGCCTGCATATCAAAACATAGAGGGAATTCATCATTACTACATTTGACCTAAACTGTGACCTTTGACTCAATATTGCATCCCTATTCTCCATGTTCATTTAGCACTATACGAATACTTAATTTTCTTTGCAATACATGTAGTACTTAATTTAAAATCGTATTACTCTCAAAGTGACACATGTGCCAGGTACATACAGCCCCATACCCACATGCACAACACCTAAAAAAAGTACAAACTGTAGCAAAATGTTGACACTGATAAGAGAGCTTACCTTCTGTGCTGTCTGCAACATGTTCTGCAGAAATATTTGGTAACTGCGACTGACCAGTTTTCTTCTGACGTTTGGCGAGCACTAGAAAGACAAGAATAGTAATTCAAGAATTACATTTTCAAAAAAGAAACAACAGAAAAACACAGATGCAACAGTATGATCTGGCTTAACATACCTTTTGAAGAACTGCGAGTCTTTACAATCAGCCGCCCAAATTGGTCTCATTCTCTCCATTTTACTGCAGGCTGACAGTCCTATTTAGCATGGTAATACGAGGTTTTCATGTTACATCAAACCATTCCATTCCAATTGTTAACACCAGTTAAATTAAAACAACAAATGCTGTCTACATATGTGATAACTTGAAAGAGTACATTTGCAAATCAGCTCTGTGCTTCATTGTTCAGTCAGTAGAATAATGACATTGTGTGTGTGTTCACTTATCCCAAGGAGCATGTTAAAGAGAAGTATCCATACATTTAAATGGAACATTAAACTGTGCTGAATACTGAAACTAAGTTCATTATTTCGTCATTATATAGACCATTACGTAGAGATGTCCATGGACATAGTATACTATTTTCCCTTTAGATTCAACTTTTTTGTTTCCTGTATCCAACACAAATACAGTTGGAATATACAACTGCATTTGTGAAATTAATAGGATGTTTGCAGACGTGAATAGGTTTAATATTGGCATTTGTTAATCTCTATTAGACAAAGTGGACATTTGTAGTAGATTTTTTTTGGACAAAGATTGTTGGAAAGTTACAAGTTAAAAGCTAGTTAGAGCAGTACTGTACATTCAGACATTACACAATGGATTTAAAAGCATTGATTAAAACATTAAAGGTAGGGTAGGTAAGTTTGAGAAACCGGCTCGAGATACACTTGTTGTTATATTCCATGGAATGCTCTTAACATCCCGATAGCAATGAATATCTTAAATGCTTTGACAAAAACTCCATTAAAAAAAATGTCATCTGTGGAAGCCGTAGTACTGTAAAAAGTACGACCAATCATTTTAGCCGGCCCTCATTGGTCATGTGCGCGTTCGTGTGTGTTGGAGGAGGGGCTCTATAAGGAAGGGGCAGATTTTCTCCGGTTGTGTATTTTAAAATTCTAGCGATCTCGAGCCGGTTTCTCAAACTTACCTACCCTACCTTTAATGATGAAATTTTACATAAAGTACCTGCTGCATAAACCCAAGAATGTATCTTATAAAGAATCAATTCAAGGATTACTTAACTCTTTAGCTTGTAGTTTTTCACCCAGTTTAGCTTTAATTTTGTCGATTTCTTCCTTGTCTTCATCACTATCAGATTCATCCCAGTTTAGAGAGGTCCTTCGAGGTGCCTGTCGCCCAGCCATGGTTTCCTTGAGGAAGACACAAATCAAGCTTGGTCTGTGGTATCTGTTGGTAGCACAAACAGAAACTGTATTTCAAACAGCTGTATTATTAGTATGTTTGTACAAAGTAAAACAAAACAAAAAAGAGAAATCTAACGGTAACAACATTATGTTTATTTTCTTCTTTCATTAACTTTACCTTTGTAGTGCCGAGAGATAGGAGTCGGAGGCGGTGCATCGGAGGGCACGCGATAAATACAGTCAACAACATGTGTCCGTGCGGAAACAATACCCCCGACCTGTAGTTCCATGAGTGAATGATGTAACCCAGCGCCATATAGAGAGATATTATTATATCTCTATATATTATATATATATATATTATATATATATATTATACGTTCTATTATACGGCTCTGATGTAACCTAGTTAATTAGTGATCACTACACCTTGAACAATATAACAGGTAGGTTATAACCGTTATAACCTACCTGTTATATTGTCAACAAAATAAAACTCGAAATATTACAGTATAGGCCTACTGTATACTTGATCAACTGATAGTTGAAAATAATATTTAGATTTTATTTAGCCACAGTGTTATTATGGCTGGTCGCAGTCATCCAAGATTTTCGGCTCAAATTGCCTTAGAGATGAGACTTAATGAAGAACAGGATGAGGAAGATGAAGCATTTGTTGATCCTGATTCTGAGTCTGACATCTCTGATGCTGATGACCTAGAGTAGGCCTATGTGCCACAGGGTCAAGCCTGTGATCGTCATTTGTGAGGCATGTGTTGTTGGCGGAAATCTCGGTCTGGGCCAGTTCAAAAGAAGTGGCTGGAGGCAGACAGAGTTTGATGCAATATAACTTTTATTACGTCAAAATACATAAATCAAAGTCCGAGCAGACCCCGGGATCATACTTACACACACGTGCCCTGGAGGCGTTACGTCACATTGACCGCTTCTTGACCTTCACCAAAGTTCATTATCAAGTGAGGAGAGACAGGTCTCTTTCCCAGTTGTAACCTCACATCTCATTAGCTTCAGGCAATGTGAATAATAATTAACCTTAACCTAAAAGTGGCATTTTCGTTGACACACACACATACACATACTGTACACACTCAGAGAGAGCGAGAGAGTGGGACATAAAGACATGGGCACTAGCACTAGCCGTTGTCCGTTTGTGCTGCCATTGTTTGCCTGACTTTTTTCTATATCCTCCTGGGACCCAGCCCACTGTGGTGGACATTTTGTTAACATGCATCTCCTTTTACTCTTTTGAGCTACTCTATCAATCCCTGATGTACTGTACAGAGGACATCCTGGTCTTTCCATTGATATGCCATTGGTTAAAATTGCATGCTGGGAAGTTCCTTCTTTCTTTTCATCCAAAATGACTGGCATACCAAAAACATAATGTTATAGAAGCAGGAGAAGTCAAATATTGTTGAATAATTGAAATGTTTACCATGATAATCATATAGTTCTTGTTTATTAACATGTGAGGAACTATATAATTAGTTCTGAAAGCAATTAAATAATTCAAGTTTTCAAATAACAGCCCTTTTATAAATGTCCATTCTAGTTGACGTCAGGACCATCTTCATGGACTTTATGACTCAATATTGTTAGTAGTATTACCAATCCCCTTTCAATCACATTAGTATGCATAAAAAAGTGACAGGTCACACCTTCTAAGTCCCGCCCCCTACTTATGCTAATGAGCCCCTTTGATATGCTAATGAGCCCCTTTGTTCGAGGTGTTATCACATGTAGGTGTGATATTCCCCATTGTAGTAGATCCTTTGTTGTGTAATCTAATTAGCCTTTGATGTCTGACCCTTTGATGTCTATCCTTTGATGTGAGGGGTGAGGTGTTTGTGACATGTAGGTGTGAACTCCCCATTGTAGTAGATCCTTTGTTGTGTAATCTAATTAGCCTTTGATGTCTGCCCCCCTTGATGTCTATCCTTTGATGTGAGGGGTGAGGTGTTTGTAACATGTAGGTGTGAATTCCCCCTTGTAGTAGATCCTTTTGTTGTCTAATCTAATTACCCTTTGATGTCTATCCTTTGATGTGAGAGGTGAGGTGTTGTGACATGTAGGTGTGATATTCTCCCTTGTAGTAGATCCTTTGATGTCTAATCTAATTAGCCTTTGATGTATGTCGTTTGATGTGAGGGTGGTGAGATGTTGTAACATGTCTCGCACCCCATCCCCCTCGCACCCCGTCCCCCTCTCACCCCTTCCTGTCACCCCATCCCCCTCGCACCCCATCCCCCTCTCACCCGTTCCTGTCACCCCATCCCCCTCGCACCCCGTCCCCCTCTCACCCCTTCCCCCCTTCCTTTTGCTGTGATGTCAGAAGATAGAGGTGGGGATGGAGCTAGGTAAAAAAAGAAATCCGTGCAAACTAGATAAAAAGCCAGTCATTTCCACTCACCAAGTCACCTAAACTTTCAAAAACGAAAATGGCAAAGAGACGCATCGATATGGGTTTAATCAGTGAGACGCCTGTGACAACTTACCGCCATCTGTCGGGAGCTCCAGTCAAGAAACGGATGCAGTATCTGTGCCGGGTTCAGACCCTCCTTCGGAGGCTCTTCATGAAAAATGGAGTCTGGATGTGTGAGACTGTCTCCCCTCACACCCCCCTCCCACCCCTCCCCTCCCCGTCACCTCCTGATGTGGCTATCAGCCATTAATTTTCACTCACCAAGTCACCTAAAACTTTTATTGTCCTCTCTAAATTAGATTAGTTTTAATATGATTTGTGTTAACTATGGAGGTGCTCTTAAGTTGTAGGGCTTGTGAACTAATGTTTAATTATTTTACTAACTACAACAAAGTCTCTTTGAGAGGAAAATAATAATTTAAAGATCTTAATGACCCCCTGATCTTGTCTTTTTATTGTTTAATTACTTCACACAACTATTAATGAATCCCTATATGAAGTTACATGAGGCTACATTTACTGGTGTTGAGCCCTGGATGATGAAAATAATCTAAGTGTCATGTTAGGGGGACATTACGGAACTCAGGAGCCCGCCCTTGGAGGCTTGGAGAGCGGATAAAGAGAGCTGTATTTACTGGTGTTGAGCCCTGGATGATGTAAATAGTCCAAATGCCATGGCAGGGGGGCATTACGGAACTCAGGAGTCCGCCCTTTGAGGCGTTGTTAACATTAATGCTTTTGTTTTTGTTACTAAGATACTTTTTTAGATACACTTTTGAAGTGAGCAACACTTTACAACTGGTAGAAAGTTAAGTACTTTTGTATGGAATTGGTTTTTCTTTAGAGCTGTTTTCAGTGAGACAATGCAGTTTCTGATAATATTAAGTTTCAAGTTTCAAGGCTTTAAGGCATATGCCCATTAGCTACAGTGTAGATATGTCAATGAAAAACATAGGTCACAGGCTCCTCCAACAGTGCAACAAATTATATATATATATACATAAAACAGATAAAATACTGCAATTTGTGCGTAATTCTCTCACAAAGGAACTGTAAGATACACGTTTATGTATGGAAAACTTTATAACTTGGTAAAATATTCATTCATTTGTAATGAATTACTTGACTAACATTACTTTTTTTTTAAATATATGTTTTTAGATGCTTTACTTTTGATTTCTTTCATGTTATTTTAACACAACATTACTTTTTTCATATTTTTCAACATACTGTGATATATATATATATATATATATTTTTTCTCTCCATTATATTTTTGAATATACAGTGATTTTTATCAAAATACAACATGCAACTATTACATTATACAATATTACGACTTTTTGCGATATTTTCAACACAATATACTTTTTTGTAGGGCTTCAGGATATTTGGCATGTCATGC